CTCTTATAGTTATGTAGCTTTTCTTGTCAGCGTTTTCTATAATCACCCAAGAATGCAATTCCTTGTCGACCATTTTCGCACTTACCTGTCAAACATCACATTCTTGTCGGATAAAATCATGAGCTGTTAGATGAAAGGTTTAATAGTAGTTTCAGCAAAAATTTGCCAATTACAATTGTGAAAAAGACCAAAGAATATTTGATTATGGGACAATTTCAGATACCTCCTCTAAGGTTTCTAACAATTGCAGCCATCTCCCCCGAGGTTTGAAAAATTATAAAAACCTCCCCTAGAAATTATGTCTTATTAACTATTAGTGATTTAAGAAGAAAAACAAATCTAATGAATATCCAATATTACCCCTTTCCGATATGTAAAGCAAATGAAATGCTGAAAAAGTCAACTATTCATTGGATGAAAATTCCAAGTTAGCTTTTTGTAGGAAAATTCAAGTCATGTCTTGAAAGCATCCTTTTTTTTTTTCATACTTTGGACTTTTTTATTTTTGGTTGGTCGATTTTCTGTAAATTGGTTAAGAAATCTAGTCAAAAAATTGGAAATGAAGTATAATGTACTAGATTAGATGATGTTAGAGTTATAGGATAAAGAAGTATGATCAAAAATGGGTTTTCATTTTTCACTTATAATTTGTAAAATTTATGAAGGCTATCATAGTCTTTTCATAACATCAAGGGAGAAAAGTATAATTTTTCAAACCTCAAGAAAGTGCTTGCAGTTGTCAAAAACCTCAAGGGAGGTTCTTGAAATTATCCCTTTGATTATTGTATAGAGAAGTTTCCCCGTCTAACTATCAAAGGAGTGGAAAAAATGGTCAGTATTGAGCATTAGGATCTACCATTGTCAATTAAAAAAAAGAAGTTGGAGATTTGTCCATATTCGACACGCCTACAACTTCAATGACAACGATGAGAATTGAATTTTTAAATTTAGATGGGAGAAGAATAACTTTATCATTTGAGCCAAATTCATTTAGGGTCTGTTTGTTTCATTGAGTGTCATTGTAATAAAAAGTTTAAATTAGTTTATGCTCACCACTGATTGAACCATTACAAGAAATTAGCAATTGTAACTTGATGTTTATTGTATTAACTCTTCTTCTAAATGTATTCCTAGATGCCTCCATTGGCTTCACTTTTTTTCCTTCTGCGAAACTTCTCAATGTAAAGCCCAATCTAGATCTAGAATTGTATAATCCATAAAAGTGTTTGTGTGGCGCGAGAGAAAAGGAATCAGCAGGGAGGAACATAAGAAAGAGGAGAGTTCGAAGAGGTGGAAAGTTGTGGAATTTGCAGAAGCAAGTGCAGGGACGTTGCTCTTGATTTGATCTCTGTGGTGTGGTTTTGTACAATAGCCAAGCGCCAAGGAGACTGATAAGTCACGATAGTGGTCCAAAATTAACTTCCGTATCTTAATTCAGGAAGTCATTTTACACCAAGTTATGTAAAAGATTTTCTACCAGAAAAAAAAATTTCCGGACCTCTTTTGCAGCCAAACACCAGAAATTGAAGAAAATATCTTTTGAAAAAGATTTTCAGTCCAAACAAACAGATCCTTAGTGCTAAAATCTAAGTTTTGCCCAGTGAAAGGTTGTGTTAAGATCATACATGTGATCTGACGTGCATCAGTTTGAAATTATTCTAATAAATGGGGCAATAAATCAAACTGTTACGTGAGGAACAATTTGGCCTTATTACTGAGAAACGGCAACAAAAGATGAACAACAATTCATTAACAAAAAACAAAAAGATCAACAACAAAATTATTGTGACAAAAAATAAACATTATTGTGTCAGTCTATTCCCTAACTTATCTTCCTAACTGACAAAAAATGAAAATAGAAAAGGGGGAAAATAAACATTATTGTGTCAGTCTATTCCCTGCATGTTTATCGGTCTGTCACAATAGTATTTCTCCTGTGTTTGGTAGTATTTGATAAGTTTCTGAATTTTATTTCGTCGATAAAATTGCCATGCGCTGTTGTTTTTCCAACTGGGAAAATTTTATTTTCCCGATAGAGTTTTTTTTTAATTTTAAAAATAATTATCATAGAATGAGTCAAATAAGCTTCTTATTAAATTGCCATGCGCTGTTGTTTTCCCAACTGGGAAAATTTTATTTTCCCAAATGAGTTTTTTTTTTTAAATTTTGAAAATCATTATCATAGAATGAGTCAAATAAGCTTCTTATTTTTTTCCATCCAAGTAATGGCTCTTTTCTTATATCATTTAATTTTCTTCTTATTCTACTAGATGATATATTTTGACTAAATTTGGTCGAATTTCTTGGTACGCATCCTATTTAAGGACACAAATTGCCAGTTAAAAATTAAAATGTACTAGTACAATAAAGAGATTAATTGAAAACAAGAAGGTTGAATAATTTTTTTTGTCAAAAAGAGCTGCCTGCTCACATAAGACCTGGTACAACAACAAATGATTGATATCATGTGGACACAAAATAATAATACTCTCCTCTCCGGTAGCAATAGTCAAGAAATACGTAGGACTTTTGGAGTAGTAGTACAGCCACAGCCACAACACAGGTGCGGTATTAACTCTCTTTTAAGGAAAGTACAAGTTGGGATGGGCTCTTTTCTACTTCTCTCATTGCTGTCGGCAAGGCAACTGGCGGGGGGGGTGGGTACGAGGTTTTTACGCCTAGGGAGACGTGGACGCTTCCTCTCCATTCACCGAAAGTCCTCTTATCGTATCTTCTCCTGTCGTTTAGTCAACCTTTCCTCTTCTTTTTTTTTTTGGCTTTATTATATTATTATTTCTTTAATCCATATAATTATTAAGATTACACAGACAGAGGAGGAAGTAGCAACAAATTATTCTTTATCATTACTACCAGTGCAGTGGTGCGGCTCTAGTTAATCAGTTTATTATTCTAAGTTAATCGCTAATCATCAACTTAGTAGTACTGTTTCATCAACCACTGCTGCTACTATTTTGTGTTTGGATTGGCATTCAATTATTGGAGGTTAGTGCATAAGTTGGGAGATTAATTGGAGATGATACCCATTAATTGTTTCCGAGATTGGCCCTGCGTAACTGTACTTGCCAATTCTACTGGTGCCGTCCGGAGAAAAGGCTAAGGTGCGATTCTTCACCTGTGTAAAGAGGGCACCTGGCAATTTATTCATCCATCCCCTTTGTTCAACTTAATAATCAGATTAGTCTGTCTGTCGAACGGGTGCCCTATGAGCGATGTATTTTCGGAAGTTAAATTTTTAGAAATATAAGATTAATTAGGAAAAACACGTAAATGTAAGGAGATTAATTAGAAAAATTATATAATTAATTACAAAAGAGAGCAGGATTCAGAGAGCCAGTTGCCAATAAAGACAATCTTATTGGCCGCTTGTCATGGTCTAATAATTAGTAGTACTAAGAAGAGATTAAATTAATTTAATCACATGAATGGCTACGAATATTCTCATTGGTTATAGGCCGGCGGATTGCTACAATTTGCTAAACAACAATAATGTGTCAACATTACCACGTCGCATGATCGTGCTCTCGTTTGTGAAATTAAGTACTAGTAATAAAAAGAGATGTTTTTGAGCCATTAAGGAATAACTTAGATATAAAAATGAATCAACTTAGTCCCTTTGGCAGCCGAAACGTCGTGTTTACTCGTCCGATAATAGCCACAGATCTCAATAAGAAAGATTCTCTGCAGGAAATTCCTATGGCTTTTGTCATTGTTTTTTTTTTTTTTTCCTTTCGTTTTTATGATTTTCCTCCAATTTCTTTTACCAATTCAAGCATGGGTGATTTGTCTTTCCTGCCTTGGCATGATGACACCTCAAGCGACCAGATTCAGGTTATATAATGCAATCAGACAACAAAAGCGTGTAAAGGCATGCAAGTTCCAAGCAGGAAAGAAAGAGCCACAATCGAGAGCCTATGAAGATTGAATTATTACTACCACAAAGTGACTGGTGGGATTTCTAATTGTGAATTTTCAAGAAAATTAATTCGCATCTCCGTAGTTTTTGTGATAAACCACATTTACTTTCTCCAATAAGATGATGCAAATTGACTAGATGAAAATGATGTCAATTTGATCTTGTTTACAAGAATAGGTCCACGTCACACACACACACAAGAATCATACCGAAAACGTACCATCAGAAGCTGTAGGTTACAGCAATTAAATCCACCATTGTCCAAAAGCAAAAAGCTAATGAACCATTATTCTACAAGCAAGAGAAGACAGAAGCAATAACTCCCTAGGCACCTTCTTTCAATTCGTCATTTTCAACTTTTAGGCCATAAAAAGGCCCAACAAGTGGACCATTTTCCCCATTAACTACTCATTTCTAGTGTAACCTTTCTTTCTTACTGTTGCCGTCTTTGCTTCACCCCCCCATTAAAGCCTTCATTTGCATTGGTTACTCAAAAGCTAGATACAGGCAAATAACAAAGAAGGAAACAATAGATAATGTTACCTTTTGTTATTTTACTTTATTAAGAACTCTCCTTGGTTTGTAGTAATTTTTAGAAGGTTGGCGTGCGCGAAATACAAATAGTCATGTCCAGTTTGATGCAATCCAGAATTCCAGATGTGGAAGTTGCATATGGTAGAAGAGAACAAAAATTTTCGTAGTATAACAAGTAAAATATCATCGACTCTTTTTTTTTTTTTTTGTTTATCATGGCCACACTTTACAAGGTCACTGACATTAAAAAATGGTAGTTGAAAGATTCGTGATTAACCTATTCGTTTCTATATTCTATATGCATAAAACTTCGAGGAGATTAAGATGCCACAATCAGAATTAAACAAAAGCATGCCTATTCAACTTTGTTGAGTCAGAACATGGAGCGTATTAGTTAATGAGATATTATTTAACCATATCCAGGCATTGATTGCCAAACAGTTTTGCAGTCAAATATCAAACATGCTATCAGGCGAGTGGCTACGTGGACAAATCACGAATCACAAAAACACCAACACTAGCAATGGGGGGATTAGACAACAAGCTTTGGTCATAGGTTAAAAAGGGAAAATAAGAATAATGGTAAAACTCAATCTTGGGTTTCCTCTTTACAGTTTTTCCTATTTAAAAACCCCCATCAGAAGGTTGAACAGCACTTTATGGCTTCTTTAGCTGAGGACACTTCAAAGTTGTTCATTTACTAGTATGCGAAACCAAAGCGCTAACCTTAATCTTGGTTCTCACAAAGAATGATAAAAAATAAGTTATCCTTAAATCTGAAGGAGTGCATTTTAAGGTATTCCTGTTCCAAGTATCTCATTCAAGTTATTAAAGTGAAAGGAGAAAGGATACTAAATTTAATGGTCTTCAGTTGTCGCAGCACCACCAAATAAATTAATCCTGCAATTTGGTTTGACTGTCACATGGTAATATGCTATCCCTATGATGATGATGATGATGATCTTCACGCAGGTCCTGGCTCAGTTGTGCATCTGAACCTAAAGATCGACACCTTCCCAGATTTTTTCACATTAAAACATTGCCAGCATAATTAGGTAACTTAAAATTGTGTAATTCTGCACGGCGCTTACCAATTCTACATATCTGTGCCTATTTCTTTATGCCAATATGCCTTGATTCCTCATACCCTGAAAAAAAAAGGTCTACTGGTCTCCTAGATGAAGGCACAAACAATGAGCTAACCTCACATCAAACTTTGATTTCTGATGCGTAGTGATAAAAGGGCTACAGAACTATATTCAAACAAGATCTATGTACCAAGCTAAGTGCTCGAGTCCTTGAGTACAGGTATCAGCCACAAACAACCCTGAAGCTCCAATTCTTAATTGAATAAACCACTGTTACCTGAAAAAGGTAACACAACATTTGAGGGCCCAGAACAGGAAACAACCCAAGACAAGTATATTCACACTTCAGCCCACATTCCACATTAACAGAAATGAAACGCAGGCTGAAAGCCCAACAAGGAAAAAAAATATAGATATCTGATCGTATAAGCCTACTAGGAGTTATAGTAGAATCAGTTTAGTTGCATTAGGTGAGCAACGTCATACTAAGATGTTTGATCTTTCATGAGACATATTTCAAAAACAGATTGCCAGTATGATAGTAATTCCAGTAACAAAGCTGTCATAATTCTGTTCTCAGCTTGCTAGAAATGAAAGCAAACCAACCTCAAAATCCCTGAAGTATTTGATGTTATGTGCGTCATTAATAGAGGAAGCAACGTTGAAATGCTTTAAAACTACAAAGCAAAAAAAAGTAGAATTGACTGCGCTAGACACATGAAGCACAAAAACAGGATAATAGCCATTCAATATACATGAGGAATCTAACACAAACATCTGTCTTAAGAAGCATAGTGGCAGTTGTATCTCTTTCTTTACAGAAGCAAACATCTATCAACTGTTGCATAATCATCGATTATGCCATTTCCAGCAACATCATAGCAAAACTTAATCCACTCTAATAAAATATTTAATAGCCAGTTAATTATCTAAATTCTATCCGGCACAAGTACCAAATTTAGAATGGCCAAAGGTGGTAGTGTGCTAGTCATCAGATTGGATTGAGGATAAATCAGATTATACTATCTCGCTGTGGAGATTATTTGCTCGGTTACCAAAAAAATGCGCATTCAATTGGAGGAAGTACAAATAGAAAATTAGATTAGTCACCAATTAATTTGCGAGATTCTACAAGATGCCTCCAGGAAGACATCTGCAGCTTTTCTCCAGAAAGCTCATTATGACATGTCATTATCACAATATATCATGCCACAGTGGCCTGCATTCTTATATGTAACATCATCACAACAATTTGCGAGATTCTTATAAGCTCAAGTATGAAAATCTATGTAACTGTCATAGATCCTTAAATAGCATTATGAATAAATAATCCACAGAAAAGGCAACAGGAGTTCAGAACAAGCACTGTTTGATTACTGCCCAATCCTCCCCTAACCAAACAGAAAATGACCATGAGGAGGAAGATGGATGGTAGCTTGGAAGAAATCAAAGAGAGCTGGCAAATGCAGAAAATAGTAGACCTTCTCTGAGGTGATTACCAATATTAAAAATCAATTTCAGCAATGAAGTTATCTGTGAACAGATTACATGAATGAAAATGTTCAAATATCATCAAGGGCCTCTACAATTATCAAACATAAATTTGCTGTCAAATGTATGCATGATCATAACAAATAAATGCTGACACAACAAATATTTCAATTTCAACGAGTGTAAAACAATGACTTTTGATCCACAACTACCAATCATGAAAGCAGTTGTTAGTTAACACGTGCTACTTAAGTTCATATATTCATTGTTGCATACATTTTTTGTGCCAGTACATACATCATAGAATACGATTGTGGCTGACAATTCTAGAGGCCTCTCACTCATTGAAAGATGACACTGAGTTCTGACCTGTCTATAACAGTTTTAAAGTGTTTTTCTAGGCCAGTTGAAAAATTTACACGCACTAATGGAAGTTAACTGCTCTCCTCCCCTTCTCCACCCTCCACAAGCAAAAGACCCTATTAGTTTTGTAATTTAGTTGCTTGATTCTGCTCATAGTAGTGAAGAAAATATTCATATCACACCTTGACCACATATTGCATTTATTTCTGGTCCAGTCATTTCAATTCCATCGTCATGAAGCAAGGAAATTCCAGATGCAGATATAGCGAAAGTGAATGCAACCGGAGGGGACATTGATGATTTTGCCACTTTTATGAATCTTTGCCCTACAAGAGACAACAGCACCACTTAACAGAGTTTAGGAGTACGAAAAATTTGCACAGTTTAATTCTTTGGTAAAATCAGCAAAAAGCCTGACTAATGCAAAACATCATTATGTTGGAGACAGTAAAGAAACTATTACTTTCATTTCCACCAACGTAACATTAGAAGCATTATTTTCTCTAAATTTTCCTAGCCAACATGTTTCAAAATCTCCTTTATCCCTTGGTTAAGGTAATTCCTAAAAGCATTAATAGCCTTCCCTCACTCCCAAGTTTAAAATTATTGCAAAGGGACAAACAAACCTGATTTAGATTCCAGCACAAGACGGATAGAAACAGCATGAGCCCAAGGGATCCCAAGAGCAGCAACAAGATGGGAATCAAATGTTGTGGGGAAATCCAGATTTTGTCTAGAATCTGAACTGCACAAGATGAGTGACTCGTATATTGCTTATCTGGAACAGGTAAATCTGACATTATGAAACTCGTCATAATACCTTGGAAGGAATAGTGGAAAGGGTCATCACCACTATGAGATCTAACTTGGTTAGTCACCACCACAGGGATACGGGAAAATTCTGCGAGTGATCTTCATACCACAATAATTCAATCAACAGCGAAGAAATTGTTATTTATCCGAGAAATTAACTTTCTGCGATATCAGCTAAAAAGTTGAAGGACAAAATTCTCACTCACTTTATAAAGGTCATATGCCAACCCAATGGATGTTGTCTACATTGTCCCTGTCCATCTCTCCTTGTTGAAAACAAACAAATAAAATGTGAAAAATATTGCCTCTACAAGCAGGCAATCCAGACATGTAATACATACAGTACCATTTCAATTTTAAAATTAATAAACACAAGTTTGTTGTATGAAGTAGGAAATCAAACAGCTGACCCAATTGCAATCTTCACTCAGAAAAATAAATCAAGAAACAATTTTGGTCAAGAATTTAAAAGCTTTGAGCAGAAAAACTACAAATTCAAGGACCATCAAAACACATTAGTCTTCCACATATGTAACTTAGATTACAGCTGTTGTGCATCAATAACTTTTTACTCCAGTGAGTCATCCACTACCTAGTGCAGAATAGGAGAAGGAAAATGAAACTGACCCTGAAACAAGAGCTGCCATGCTATCAATGACTAGCAACTTCACATGATGCTGGAGAAGGGAATCCTTGATCTTTTGCAAGCTGTTAAAGACATAACATCCAGTGTTATAATCAGTCCATTGGCTGCTAACTAACAAAAAGAACATTCTCAATGTCTTACACAGGATATCACGGATGTAAAAAATGCAATACTCAAGAAACTAGCGAGCTCTTTTCAGTTCAATCTTTCCATAAGAATTTCTCAACTTCTTAGCTGCCAACTCCAACAAAAAGGACACATTTATTATGCATCCTTTGTTTTGATTGAAAGTAACTGCAGTTTAATTTTTCCTATTTTATTCTTCATTGTATATAATTTTTCATGCTTATCCAATTACTTTCTTATTCTTTCTCTTGTGACAGTATAGTTCGCACACATACACACACACAAAACACTTAAGGATGTTGATTTTGATTGAACTCCAGTGGACATTCAAGCTAAATCCTCCAACCTAGCAACGTAAGATGGCCTACGCTCCTACATTCTCTAACATGCATAAGGAAAATGATGATAGAGGCTCAACTAATTAATGTTTATCCTCCAACGATCACCCAGAGCATCTCTAAAAAAATTTACTTGATTTTCTCCATAGCTGGGTTAATACATCATTTCTTAGGCTGATAACCTAGAACCTGATTTATCTTACTCATACCACTCTGAGAATTCAGTGGGTGTCGTCGGTTGCAAGACTAGGATCCTACCAGCCATCTGCAGCAGATATTTAGAAAGATTTAGGAAGATGTGAGAACCTATCAGATCATGAGCAGGGTGCAATCTTGGAAGCACCTTGCAACTCCCAGAAAGGAAAAGGGGGGGAAAAAGACACAAAGACCAGATATGTAGAAGAGCTTAAACATGTAATAACTGCAACAATTTTTAAAACTTCTGCTTTTTTCCCTCGTTAAGATGAGTATCTTCCTACATCTATTTTCTCCCAAATTTGAAGACTTGAGCCTGCAAAGACCCAACTTCATGCTAAATAAGTTTTACCAAGATTTCAACATCAAAAAGGATTGTGCAGGCAAATATTGACAGGATTTGATATGTGAAACAGTTAATAACCAATATATGGAAATCTCTATTTTTAATTAGATAAAAGTAACATAATGATCTCTTTAACTTGGTCCATAGATTTCATATGTGTGACACTACAAAATCTGTGTCATATGATTTAGTTATCTTGTCTCAATTCTGAACGGATTTGTCTGCTTCCAAATCTAAAGTCAAGCTATATGTTTCGTCTGTGTGCACGTCGAATGATTTGTGTCCATGTTTGCTTCTGTAAAAGAAAGTAATCATATATTTCTGGATACCTGCTGAGCCATTCCTTCAATTTGGAATATTTCTGGGAAACTATTAACACCTATTTCAATCATCCTGAAAAAGATGGAATTTATTTGAGTGCAAGAAAGCTTGACAAAAGAATTTGAAAAGATATTAGAAGATAGAAAGACGCAAACCTCCTTGAACTAAATTTTGATTCGGTATCCACATATACGACATGCCCATCAAGGCCACCATGACTAGAAGGCAGCGAGGCCAACAAGGAAAGCTTCAGGCAGAACTACAAGTCACATCAAAATAGGATCTGTTGAGAACGACAAATAAGATGGATCGAAATCTTGGACAGAAAATGCAATGCTGGTATACCCTACATCAACAGACTCCTGCATTTTTGTGGCTAGGGTCCGTTTACGGACTGAATCATTGTACAGGTTAAAATATGTGTTTAATAAATAAATTTTAAAGAAAAAGGAGCATTAACTTATGCTGCCATTTGAATATAACCAAACTAGATATTCTGCATGTAGCAATTTCAACCAAGGTTCCCCATCGTACTGCAAAAGCACTTCAGGTTTTGGATTCTAATATTGATCTAAAGGAGACAACTGCAGCTTCCATTTTCAACTTCAATCCCCACCTAACTAGAAGATAAGTAATAGGTGCAAAGGATACGAGGAAGCAGGGAAAAAGGGCAGGACAAACATAAATTAGTTAAACGGAAAGAGCGTATGCAGGCAATAAAATTCCCAGCAATGTTGTAATCCAAATGAGATGAGGAAAATAACAGCAGCATAGCAAAAATACTTTAGAAACCCAATATCATCGTTGTGCCATACCTGTGTTTTGCCAATCCCTGCAGGACCAACCAACTCCGTAATAACACCAAATGGAATGCCCCCACATAAGGCTGCATCTAGTCCTTTCAGACGAGTTGGTAGATGACCTGCCAAGTGCTCATTATGCATACGCTGCTCCAACAGCGACAGAGCCTAAAAAGACAAATTAACACCAAAGTTGCGAACAAACACCTAAACAGAACATTCCATTCTTTTCTCCTATAGTTCACTATACAAAAACGAATCACAACACAATTCAGTGCAAGCTTATTGACATCTGAACTCACAGTTTGGTAGGGAGGGCAAGAAATCTCACTGATACTTGATACTGCTGTTGTAACTTCAGCCAACCCGACATCTAACAGCTCCATTAACTCAAACTCGGTTAATGACAATGCATCCTGGACTCACACAAGACAAACATAAATTAGTTCTACGAAACGCGAATATATGCAGAGGCAGCGATGGAGCCTCTCTCTGTAAGGCCATATAGGGACTGAGAATGAGAATCGCTGTTGGTTTCTTTGATGACAACACCATGACAATCAAACTTGCACTCTTCTAAAATATCACTACGGCTACAACGAAACTGCAGAGTATAATTCCCAATCCTGAGTCTGATGCTAAAAGATTTTCCAAAAGCAGCTTAATTAAACTCCCATTCAATACTGAGTCCAGGTCGAACACGAATTTTGAAAACTGAACCAAAAAAATAAAATTTAAATTTAAAAAAATCAACATAAAATTCACCGAAAAAAAAAAAGAAGAGCTAGGGCCGAGAAAATTGCGTAATAACAAGGATATACCTGGAAAAGGAAAGAAAAAATGGATTCCAAATAACTTGAAGTAAAAATCAACATGTAAAAGAGTTAAAATTGCGTGAATTATAGGTAGTGATCCACAGAATCCATGGGTTCATATTTGATGCCAAATTAGAAATTTAATGATATTCTGTTCTACCTTGGCAGTGTGAATGTTGCGAGCAGCAAAGATGTTGGCTATTGATTTGGGAAGACCCATTTCGCTTATCAATTTGTTCGCCATCACTCTCCTCCACACCCTATTCACACTTTTTCTCATATCAAATCCGCCATTCCATGATTACTTAATACTACCACTCTATAATTTTTCCCGCGCAAATGATCAGTGGCAAACCCGGTTTACTCGTGTATATATATATATATACTAGTACTACAGATACTCGATTAATGCCTTTTTTTCTTTTTCCCCCCTTCTGCGGTGGTTCGTGATTGGGTCGGCGCATTATAAGGCCCGCGTCATTTCATCCAGCTTGACGAACTTGTAGTGTACGGGCCTGAGTTTAAATCCAAATAAACCCATTTCTAGTAGCATAAAGGGCCTGTGAGTTTAAAGACCAGGCCAGCCTAGTTTCTTACAATGAAGTAGAACAACTATGACTGAAACAATTACTAGGAAATCCTAGGCAGTTATTCCCAATTTCAGCACCAGTTACCTTTCTGTTTAACTAACATGTTTCCATAGGCAGAGAGGCATATAACATGTAGTAGTAGTACATCACATAGGGATGGATCTCTGAGACTCTTTTAACTACATTTCGAATTGAATTATCCAGTCACTGATAATAACGCGTAAGATGCTGATAACATATACTCTTTGAAATTCTCTCTTACGTTGTTTCTCTTCAAAATTTTGGCCCACAACCGGAGTGCGCATCTGCACAGTAAGCAATGATGTCGAATTCGGGTCTTAATCTTTCTGCAAAATTAAATAAAATGATGGGGTAGGTAAATCAATGCCCCTTATCTCATGTAATAGTCTCCCTATCGTGGGGCAGTAGTGTTTTGCCAAGAATCTAGAAGGCGAGAAGAAGTATTTATCCACTTTGTTTTCGTAGGGTTGAGGTTGACGCCTGCTACTAGGTACCAGCTTCATCACATAGATGTTGAGACTAGGGGTGCAAACGAGTCGAGCTCGAGTCGAGCTTTGACTAAACGAGCCGAGTTCGAGTTAATTTTGTGAAGCTCGAGCTCGACTCGAATTTGACTCGAGCTCGAGCTCGAGCTTGATATTTTGAGCTCGTCGAGCTCGAGTTCGAGTTCGAGCTTAAAAAATAAAATAAAAAATTATTATTATTTTATATTTTAAAAAATAAAAAATATTTTTTTTTAAAAAAAATGAATAAAATAATAATTTTTTTAACAAATAATAAAATATTAGGGATATATATGTAATTTTACTATTAAAATAAAAAATAAAAAATATATATATATAATTGAGCTGCTCGCGAGCCAACGAGATTAATGTTTTTGAGTTCGAGATCGACTTAATTAGCTCGAGCTCGATATTGACGAATTCGAGTCGAGCTCGTATTCGAGTCGCTCGCGATCGGCTCGCGAGCGAAACACCCCTAGTTGAGACGACGCTGGTAAAGGCCAAAGACTTTGACGAAATTTATAGCACTTTTTTGATTAGCCTTTTACTGCTCGATTGCCTGAAGGATTTGTGATCAAAGCGGGACCAATTTCCTTTGGAACCTCTCTCTTCTGCTTATTTGGATAGCAAAGGCTGACAGGCACTTTTGCAATGGGAATTCCCAAGGACGCCGGAAGTGGGGGATGGGTTCGGATTAGTACATCTTAGACCATTTTTTCTTTCTTTTTTTTTTATTTTTGGGAAGAATAGCAGCTTAATGTGCTGGAATAATAGATTCTTTTGGATAATTTTTTTTTTTAAAAAAATCTATAGCACTTTTTTGATATCACATACTATGTAAATTTAAAAAGTAATTAAAAAATATATTCACTGTACGAGTGACAAGTAAATTAAAATTCGTGTAAATAATCCCCTATCCAAACAATTAAAATTAGACACGTACCTGTCAGCCTTTTCAAACGTTCTGCAATTAGAATGGTACGCTAGCAAATTTTCAGTCAAAGCTGTATGTTTCCTTCTTGCAATTTGCAGCAAGCTGCCAACGACATGTACCAACAAACTTGAGTTGACTGAATGGATACATCAAACTTCTTTCCCAACATGCAAACAACACCGCAGATGGACCCTTGAGGTATTTGATTACCAATTTGGACTTGAGATTTCGAATTTTAAGATTCTTTTTCTTATGTTTCTTTTGTACTCATTTTCCGACATCTATTAGTGGGCAACGTCCTCTATTGTCTTGGACCAGTTGTAAAATAAAATTGGCTAAGTAACCTAGTCTCAGTGACGTCCTGGTTCATTGGATCGAAGACGCTCTGGCTAAGTAAACCCAGTTTCGTTACTTCGCTCTCTGCTTTGAAAGGTTACTACTCTAATACGCTTTTTTTTTTTTTTTGTTTTGTTTGGTCGGCTGAAGAATATGTGCTTTTGTTGAAAATTAATTTACTTGGCTTCTATTTGTATTAATTTTCTTGAGATTAGGTAATTTATTGACACATTTAATTATTTTTTTCTCATCAAAATGACCGGGCTTGATATGTTTGAGCTGTTATTGATTGGAGTTGCTTTTTAGGCAACGTTTGGTAGCATGAAATTTGATATTCGCAATGTAGGGGTCGAATTTTCATCTCTCTTTCGAGGACTTCCATTTTCAAAAATTGCTTGGAATCTTTACATTCGAGACGGATATACCCTGTAGCAAGGAAGGTTAGTTTGTCCGTTATAAATTACTTATCCTGATTGACTTCTGGACCACGAAGCTTATTCTACGTAGTTATTGTGACTGACTTGGTGAAGCTAGTGTGACCTCGGTTCTTAAATTAGCATATTAGTTTTAGGGCGTGGATCGGATCCTCCACGGTTGCAAGATCAACTGTCCAGTCGAATTTAAGTTGATCTTGATCATTGATTTGAAATTTATTTATGGTCGAAATCCTAATAAATATGTATTAGGTACATACAGTTCATGTCTTTGCTTCTGGATTGGGAGAATATTGTCGTATGTTGACTCATTGATGTGGAATAAGAAGATTTTTGACATGGGCAGTGCTGTATTTATTCGTTGGTTTTATTTTCTGAATCAAAAGGTTTGGGAGTGGATGGGCTCTCGCTGTCTCGCATCGAAATCCTGTTAGGACTGATTGGTGGTGTGAAAACTGGAAATTTTAACGCATAAAAGCACTTGTATGCTGATGGTGATCACTTGTGCAATGGCGATTAGCTGTCTAAGTAAGACTTTTCTTTCTTTCTTTCTTTTTTTAAAAACCAATACTAAGGTTCCAATTTTCTTTCTTTCTTCATGATTTCTGTTTTCTACCTTTCTCTTGTTATTTTAGTTTTGGGTCAGTTCATTACCTTCTCATTTCTGTTGAGGCACAAAATTTCTCTTTTCGAATAGAGGAAAAAGGATGGAAAGGTCATTATTCGATTAGCCATATCTCTAATGTTCTTTCCCGCAGTCACACTTTATCATGAGGCGATTGGCACATTCTATATGGTAGTTAAGACTCAACCACCAACTCTTCTTCTACCAACATTTTAGTAAAGATTAATTACTAGCAAACAAGAATTGCTGCTGTGAATGATAGTATAATGGTTGTTGCAAACAGAGAGGTTTTGACTTGCTCGAAACTAATCAAGTCATCAAATAGATTATCGGGCGGGCAGAGACACATCTAGCGGCTCTCCCGAATTCTTTCCTGATTATTGAACAGAGATGTTTTGGTCAAGAGTCTCAAGACTCGAAGAGTTCGAGTCTTTTTGATAAAGAGTTTTTGTTGATAAGAGAGAGACTCTTCAGGAGTGTGAAGTCTACACACGTGAAAAGGTATCTGCCGTTTGACTATTGCTGTCTCTGGGGTATCTCAACAGGGCCGGAAGAGTGCAATTTCCTGGCATTCGGCTACCATACCTGGTTTGGCTAGATTATGCTTGCACTCACATGTATGGTTGAACAACATCTTTCTCTCTCAAAAAACAAAAACAAAAACAAAAAAAAATGAAATTAGAACGTTTGTTTGAAAACAGTTTCAGTTTTTTTTTTTTTTTAAAAAGTTTCAGTACTGAGTTTGTTTGGATAGAAGTTTATTTGGATGATTTATCTGAGATAATTACTGTAACACTTTTTTGATTTAATGTCCGTAAAATAAAAAAAATGATTAAAATTTATAAAAAAAAAAAAAAAATTTCAAATCATTTCAATCCAGACACAGTCACGTTTCACAGTGGTTAGCTATTACCATCTGCTCACTCATTGACATTGACATCATGGGCCATATTTGACTTCGTAGTGGTTGCTTGCCTCCACTGCAAACCATTCTCATATTTTCATTGGGTAGCATTTAATGAGCATATTTTCCACAAAGTTTAGGGTCTATCCAGCCTATCTATCACTCTTTCTTGTTGCTTGAGGCTAGAAAAAAGAGTAAAAGAGATTGTTCATGGTTTCAACTTTCAGGCCTTGACATATCGCAGCATTACAATATGTAACCAAACAATTAAATTCATTAGTTTCAGAATGATGAGACTCCAAAACTATAAGACTAGATCTTCTATCACTTGTACGTCTAGCTGATAGTTTGTTATTCCTCCATTTCAATCCTCGCGTGGATTTCTGTTTTGATTCAGTAACAGTTTGATGATGAATAATAATAATGGAGTGTGTTTGGATTGTAAGTTATTTGAGATATTTTTACTATAGCACTTTTTGTAATGTGATGTATGTGAGATAAAAAGGTAATTGGGAAGATAAAAAGGTGTATTGAAAATTGTAATGGTGATGTAAGCAAATATATTTGGGCAAATAACTTACAATCTAAGAAATATGAGAGGCACGTACAGAAGAAGTTACTTCTCATTAATCTGAAATTTAAATGTTCCTGTCAATTCTATATATGTTACCACAATTCGATTTGACTCCAGCAGATTTGCCTTTAGGGACCGCTCAAGTCATGAACAGATGGAAAACTTCAAAGCTATAGTAATAATAATGTTCAAACTGCATTTTAGATGTTTTTTGACGGACCCAATGGTTGAACTCGGAAGGGTCCAGCACTTTGGAATTGCTACTAGTCAAGCAAATCTCTTAAACCCAACAAAGAAAACAAAAAAAAGGTTTGCATATATGCCGGAGCGACAGGTAGGAGAACAAAACTACTGGCCATTACAGACTACAATAGTCGGCTGATGATGCTTTTTCTTGGCAAATTCCGGGAAAGACTGATGAGATGAGGCATTCAAAGTTCAAACCATTCTTAAGTTTTCAACTTTCCCACCTCCTACACTACTGTCACTTCTCTAATCACCCTTTTAAGGTGCCAGCGAATGAATGCCGCAAGAGTTTTGTGAAATACAGTAGTCTGATTTAGCGATCGAATCGAATCGAATGTGCTCTTGTGCTTCAACTTTCTTTCGGCAAATCTCAAACCACTCCCGAAACTTACTAATTACTACCAGT